CTATATGCAGATTTATAAAATATCTCATTTTAATAAATTTTACTTTTCTATCGGTAGAATTATTGTGTAAGATTATGTAAATAGGTAACATGATGTGTTTTTGGTCTTTATTATAGGGTCAGGTAATCAGTGCAGTTGGTTGGAATTTTGAGAATACAAATGAAAATACCACTGGCAGCATATTGTTGGGAACAACAAAAGGTAAGCTATTGTTTACTGGTGTTGATACATGATAAGCCTATATACATATCATTTCTGTATTTATTTTGAGATGAAGTAGAATTTGTATTTTTCAGAATTTAATTGTTTGTTCATGTTTGTACACCAGTAGAGAAGATTGTTTATGAGAGTGTGAAGTTTGGGCCTTTCCCCGGTTGCTTTTGATCCTGCACCTTACTTGATGGATGAACGATCAGTCCATGGACATTGTGGTTCATGCTGGGAGGTTTACTTCTCAGTTACATGAAGGGACAGTTATGCATTATCTGACACGGTTGTCCAAACTTTCTGATTTAGCCTACCACCACAAGGTGGAAACATTTTTTTGACTCTCAAGTCATACATCTGCTTATCGAATTTTAGGGTTCTAAGGTGGAGTTTTTGTAGTTAACCTGAATAGATCAATGGGCCAGGGTAAGTCTACAAACTTACAATCTCTAAAATCCAACATTTTATTTTCCTTTCACTTCACTTTGTTGGAACACTCAGGATCACCAACTTCATTAATGATGAGTTGGATCTATTGTTAGCATACACATTGGTTCAATTATCGGCTTCTACATTCATCCCTGTTGTTGTTGGAGTCTCGATTTTCATCGGCTCTTACAGGAGGTCATAGCTCTGCCTCTATTTGTGGGTCCTGATGAATAGATTCTGTCTATATTCCAAGGTTTTGCTGCTTGATTGTATCTCTGCCAATGATTTTTGTATGTCTTCACAGTCTGTGGAGTTTCTGGACATGTGGTAAACTTAACCACAGATCCAGGAACACTACAGGTCCTTGAGTCATTCAGTTCACATCTTCACCATTATTGTCCACCCAATCTGTAGTGTTTCCATCTCCTGCAGATCCTTGGGGTTTGGAACTTAGTTAGTAGTGAGAGAGTGTGTGCTAGTTCTTCCAAGGTTTTATTCCTTAGAGGACAGGAGATTGGTGTCCAGTCATTGATCCTGATTATGCCTAAAATTAATCTTAAAATTCTCTGTAGCCATGACTGTTTCCCCTCTTTCTTTAAATGTCTTTGTTCTTCTCACATAGCCAAGAAATTTGAAATGAGCAATGATTGTGCCCTCATGAGTTGCAACGGTGAAGCCAACTTTGACAGGTCAGTCAAATCATTACCACAGGTCACTTGGTGACTCATGGGTCATAGGTTGTTGACCACTGATCTAGGCATTGATATAGACAAGAAATCAAGAACTGTTTATTTTTTGGTGTCTGAATCATCTTGTTTGTTTTTGAAAAAAAAATATTTTGTTTGTTGTATGTACATACACATTTAAATACATGTACTGGTATTAAGAATTATATGACTATCACTGACCCAACACAATGCTAAATTAAAAAAAAATTGACCTGCGATTTAAAAAGGTTGCCGACCACTGGACTAGATTCTCCAATTTTCACAAGTTACTCATTTCTCAATCTGAGTTGATATTTTTTACTGGGATTGTGGATGTCGAAGTTCATTGTAGTCAGCTTCTATCTGAATATTTCCATAGTGGTGGCATCTCACCACTATTGTCAATTTTTTGTGCACAAGGATCAGGTACTGTAGTTCTGGGTTTTTACCTTTGGACTTGTATCCGCTTCACATGGGTTCTGCCATATTGTACAAGTTTTTTCTCATCACTTCCATCCATCACACTGTGCACACACTATTTCATAGATGATTCATTACTGCTGGCAACATCTCATCAATTGTTAGAACATCGCATCCTGATTCTACTTTTAGAAACAACGAAGGCAGGCTTCATTCTTGCTCCAGTTCAATATGTCTAGGTATTTTGTATTTTTTGTCTTGTCTCTCAGTTGGGTTCAGCTGATTCCCATTTGACTCAGTGCTATTGAATGGGAAGCCTGACTCTTACTCACCTCTCCTTCTCCCACTGCACAGATGGTTCTTTCTCTTCAGGGAATGTGGGCATTACTCGATTCCCTCATGACTTTGGGATGAGAGCACAAGAGGTTCTTTTAATGGTCTGTATGCGAACAAGGGATCATAAATATCGATTCACTGGATTCCTCAGGTTCCTTAGTCGGGATCATTCTTTGATCTCAAGGGGTTGTTAAGTTAGGACACTACTAAGATATGGGTTCCTTTACTGCCACTTCATCCAGAGTTCCATCTCTTCAGGGATGGGGTGCATATACCAACAGTTAGGAATTCCAGGGTCTACACATGGATGACAAGGCTTCCCTACACAATATTTTAGGGGAAAATTGTCAGGCTTCACTCTGACAATTCCACGGTGGTGTCTTGTGTTTCTCATCATGGAGGCACTTGGTCCAGGGCTCTTAGTTTTTGAATCTTGGACCTCCTTTCTTGGGACCATTTCTATTATATCACCCTATTAGCTTGCCATGTTCCACGGGTGATGCATGCAGTAGCAGGTTAATTGTCTCA